TTAACCGTTAACTGAAATCCTGACAAAGTTATTTATATCAAATGGCAGGCGTTTTGAAGGTTATCATTGGCCCTTTAGTTGACTTCAGGCTTCACAGAGGGGAAAGAACATCAAAGTGAGGGAAAGCCGAGAGGGAGGGGGACAGTAGAGTGTTTCAAAGAGGAAGGAAAAGGCAAGATGAGCGCTGTAGAAGAGGTCGAATATGACATGCAGTGGGGTCATGGCAGTTTGAAGTCAGAAGTCAAATGCCGGTTAATAGACTTTTTGCCGTATGAGTATACGTTGCCCAGGGTGCACCACAAGGAGGTAAGTCTATCTCACACCTCATCCTGACAAAGTTAGCTCATCTAATTAGCTCTGGACAAAAAATGAAAATTTTGGTCATATTTCAATACTAGCGCGATAAATACCCTCCACTTATTAACTTATTATCTACGTCTTACCTAAATTGTTTTAATGATCCTTAAAATAAATATTGGCCGGCAAAATCAATTGTGCAAGGTAAAGAATACTTGGCACCTTAAATTTAGTAATGGCAGATTCACTGGCTGATTTTAATCTCGGTAGACCATTTTTCAGACTAGCTGAAGGTGCTATTTTTAAATATTCATATAATATTAATTATATTTCTTGTCTTCTGATATAGTGAATATCAGAGCCGAAAATTAATTAGATTGATGAATTGGACTTACAGATTCAAGATTTCTCTATTATAGCAGACAACCCAGTTAGTATATTCACATTTATGATTTAAAATCATCATACTGAAACCTGCAATACCTGTGTAAGAAGACATATTTCATGAGCTTCAACACTTAGAAAAATAAAATATTAAGTTGAAGCAGACATATTCCAAAGGGAGTTTATTTTGCATTCCGACACTGAGGTTTTAGATACACGCCCTTAATATTAAATATATTCGTTTCACTGAACGAAGGGAATTAAAATTTAATTAGCAAAATGTAAAATTTTAACCCTTAGTTAACATGTGGAAACTATTTTTTGATATTTTGGACTAGGGTATTACCGTTTTCTAATCAGGATTTTCCAAAAGTCGAGTACTATTGACAATTGCCCAGATTACAATAAAATTTTACCCCAACATCCTTGTCGGAACATATGTCTTTAATTTAAACACCGATTACCTTTCTACTTCTAACACATATTTTGTAAACGAAATTTGCTCTTCTTGTCAACAAGCTTGAAAACAATTTTCTTAATAATTTAGATATTTTTAATATGACAGTCAAACGACTACTTTCAAAGCATGCCGATGAATCTAAAGAAATAATTGGTTTCCAATGCAAAGGATTTGCAACAAGGCACAACGTTCAAACAATAATGCTACGGTAGCTTAACTTCCCTTTGCATTCTCAAACTTAACTTCTCAAAGGTCTTTATTGATTTTCATTATAGGTGGTCTGTGAATAAGCGAAGTCTCAACGAAACGTCTCCAAAGTATGACAAAATTTCGAAAAATATCGGAATGTTTACTGGAGATCTTGTTATTCGAACTACAAACTTGCCTCAAAACTCAACAATTCGATGCTCTGCTTATTCTACAATTATCACCAGAGAATCTAATAGGATCCAAATTTCACGAAATAAAAAGTTACGAGTTGATTTCAAAGGTATTCAGATGATTATGAAGTAAATTTCACGATTATCGATTTTTAGGCAAATAAAACCTTAAGTAGTGTTTTAAAATAGGTTTTTTTTGAAGTTCATTCATAAATTTTCAATAACCACAACATTTCCCAAGAAAATATTTTTTAAGTTTCGCAATATCAGAAAGTAAATACCTTATTCAACGAGAAATGTATCATTTTAATTTAGAATTAACGTCTGTCTCAACTAATAGAGAATTCGATCACGTTACAAGTGTTGTCCTATCGGACTTCCTTACCATTTTGGCTGTGTCAATAGTTGCCATTTTGGCAACACTAGCAATAATTATTTTGAAAAGAAAAGGAATAAATTTCCCAAAAGCAGATGCATTAACAGATTCTGAACGTGAATCTCCAGAAGGCTGTAGTATGGACAACCTCTCTTCAGGTAGGTACTTTTGTTTTCTCATTAATTTATACTTCTTTGAAAAAAATTAAGACGGCAATTTATTTTTCCTTCTCCTTAGAAATGATAAATACATCGAAAGAAAAGATAAGAAGCTCATTAAGATTGCTGCCTGAGATTATATATAAACCAAACAAGAAGGTAAGCATTATTATTTAGAAGTGGATGAAAGATCTGGAACGAAGTTAAGGGTCGTTGATAAATATTGCTGTTCATTTAATTTGCAAGTTGTCGTTAAGTCGAATCCGGGAAACAATTGCGCCAAAGAAATACGTTAATGTAAAATGGATAGCTAACTATGTTTATTTTCCTAGACTTCTCGAGATTATAGATGATGTCAGTTGAACCTGTAAACTGTAGTCGATTTATTCACAGAGCAGGATTTCTCGTTTTTCCTTATGGATTACCGAAGTTGAATATGAGTGCGTATTGCACAAGTTGGCCGAATATACATTCTATTCCATCCGAAATAAGTTCTTTGTCATGTTTTTTTGAATAAATACAAATTTTCCGTTTCTAATATCTCCACCCCAAGATTAGTTTAAATTATTAAACTTTGTTTGTAAAGGTACCTTTTGAGTTTTCTTAAAAGAGGAAGTAAACTTTAGTCAAAATTTTTTAAAATTTATAGTTTTGAATATATGAGTAAATCTACATTAGGTCATGATAACTTAAAAGATTTAAAAGCATAACAATGATTACTATTTTATATTATTTAAGAACTAATGCAAAATAAGGCATTCCACATTATTGGGAAGGGTATTTTAAAAAAAGTTTAAGAAATGCATAAAAAACTCTAGGAAACAGGAAGAAAAATTCTGCGTAGTTATTGTACTTTTTCTTACATTTAAATTCTTGTTAGCATGTAATTAAGAAGTAAAGCTAAAGTATTTTGAAGACAGGCAAAATGGAGAGACGAGTGCAGATCATAAATAATTTTTGTAATATCCAAACAATACAATAAATAGACAAATATATTTTTTCATACTTTTTAAATAAGTATTAATGATAATGACGAGTAATTTACTGTTTCTTTAAAAATTATTATCTGGGTGTAATAGAAAACTTGTATTTCTGTTCTCTTTGAGGTGGTTCCAATTCTACTTCATTCGGATAAAAGACAAACGACGGAAATAACCACTGAGCATTCCGAGGAATAAAGGAAATACCGTTTTCAACTTTGTACCTTGTTCTTTCCCTATGTAAAATTATTTTATACAGTAATGCCAGTTGGAGCATGGTATTCAGAGTAAAGATATGTGAATTTAGCAAGCATACAATAAAGCTCTGCATTTGCATATTGAACTTTATCATTTACTCGATTTTAATACTCCATTTTCTTCAACATAAGGCCACCCACATATGAAAATATTCATATCAAATGGCAGGCGTTTTGATGGTTATCATTAGCCCTTTAGTTGACTTCAGGCTTCACACAAGGGAAGAACATCAAAGTGAAAATCAAAAATTTCAGAGGGGGAACAGAAGAGAGATTCAAAGATGAAATACAGTAGGGTGATGGTAGTTTGAAGTTAGAAGTCAACTGCTTGTTAATAGGCTTTTTTGCCATATGAATATACGTTACTCAGGATGCACCACTTGGAGGTAAGTCTGTCGCACACCACGTAAAGACAATGCAATTATACTTATGAAATATTTTACATGTTTGATGAAGTAAAATTCTAATTGAATGCCAGGTTTACAATTAGTTTAATGTGTATACACGTTTTGGGACACCCTGTATAATTCCTCAATTTTTGGGAGATTGTAAAAAATATTTATAATGTTTGACGTTTTTAACCGAACAATAGTCTCTACTAGTAAAACTTTCGATTTATATACATGAAAATCAATTTAAAATATTGAAGACAGAAAGGCTTTAATTTGTGACAATTGTGTTCCTAACGCCTGCCTAATTGATGCCTATTCGCCAATTAAAAGCTACACTCTCTAGGCAAGTACCTTATGAGTATTCAACGTGCAGAAAAGTAATCGAAAATATCTTCATTTTGGAGACTCGAGAAAATATATTTATTTCAAATGGCAGGCGTTTTGATAGATATCATTAGCCATTTAGCTGACTTTGGGATTCACAGAGGGAAGGTTCATCAAAGTAGCAGAAAGTCGAGGGGTGGGGAACAGAAGAGCGTTTCACTGATGTAAAAGAGGCAGACAGACACAAAGGTAGTGAAAAAAGTAAGGTGAGTACTGTGAAAGGGGTCGAATATGACAACCAGGGGGGGGGGTCGTGGTAGTTTGACGTGAGAAGTCAACTGCCGGTTAATAGACTTTTTGCCGTATGAGTATACGTTGCCCAGGGTGCACCACATGGAGGTAAGTCTATCGTACACCCCACTTGAGAAAATATAATGGTGAAAAATTAGCGCCCTCCCTTATACGAGTTATTCAATAAGTGCCTTTTTTATCTTTATACAATCTTATGTTTGCATTGTCCTGATCAGCACTAATAAGATTACAAAATGAAATTCGCATGCTCTACCGGCGTCAAGCTTAAACTACTGGTGATTATTAAGGATACGAACTCAAGTATTTTGCAATGAAAGAAGGGGGGGGATTACATGCTTTCAAGTGTCATATTATGCAAGATTTGTGATTTGTAGGCCCATATTATGCTTACTCAAATACTATCCCTTATATATTTATCTCATATTATCATGAACAATGATTCAGTGGCATGCATTAAGGCACACTTTGAGCCATTTGTTTAAAAACAGTAACTGTTGTGTAATACATGCCACTCAGCTTGTTGAACATGAGTCTATGATGAGTGTAATAAGATAGAAATGCAGAAATGATAGTTGATTATTAACGATTTTCAATTACCTTATTGCTGGCTAGATTGCATAAGAGATAAGTCAAATCTGACCAGCCTCTCAGTCGTACCATCAAATTTAACACCTTATGAAAGGCCAACACACCCATTACGACTCAATATGATTAAACAAACTGGTAGCGGATTGCTACCTTAGTAAAGCCTGACCGACTCCGAAATCTCTATGGCAAATTCTCCAACATCTAGCTAGACTCCCAGAACCAGCTAAGCTATAGCTCCACGGATTGCTACGCTAGTAAAGCCTGACTGACTCAGAAATATTGCTACTCTAGTAAAGCCTGACTAACTCAGAAATCTCTGGCTACGCTAGTAAAGCCTGACTGACTCAGAAATCTCAATGGGAGATCCTCCTACATCTAGCTAGACTCCCAGAACCAGCTAAACACCTTAGTAAAGCCTGACTGACTCAGAAATCTCGATGGCAAGATTTCCAACATCTAGCTAGACTCCCAGAACCAGCTAAGCTATAGCTGAGCTATAAGGGAAACAGACGTGTAGCACGGAGAACGTTTATTCAGTATGGGTATTGCGGATAAAGTGTGTACACGCAGGGAGCTACTCATGATCAGGATGGGGGATTAGGTTAAACAGAGGTTGATGACTGGTCACTGTTTGTACGGTCGCTGCACACAGAGTTGTACGGCCGCACCTCCCAATCCTGGCGAGCAGACATGCAGGCATACGATGACGAACAACGCGATAACGTGTCCCACATATCTTTACAAAAACTGGTGATAAACTGTCAGAAATGCTTGCCCAGAGTTGGAAACATGGTGCCAATGTATGAAATCTTAACAAGTTACACATAAATACTGCCAGAGCATCTGAAATTTATAAAGATCCAGTATCGCGCCTGATCCACTTAGATGTCTAAGGGACTCCCAACCCGTTTGGATGGAAATAAAAGCTATATCAAATGCACCTCTGTATTAATTCAATAAAATGTATTCAATTACTCTCACGTCTGCCTTCTGACTTGGGAGCAGATTGAAGTTATCAGCTTGGCGGCTTGAGATGATCGATATTTTGGCACCTCAGGATGCACTGATAGCAATTGGGGGCTCCTAGAGGCTGCGGAAATTTATAATAGTGTAAGGGTTCCGAAAATAATTAAAGTAATCTCGTTGCAGGTCGATTTACATAATTGCAAACAGATATGGCCATTCTAACCACAATATGGTTAATCCCAATATAAGAGTCACCTGGATTATAAAAAAGAAAACGAAATGTAGAAACTGTCACATAATTATAAATTAAAAAATAAAAGTACAACCGTATAAGAAATGAATGATGATTACACAATTCAGCAGTTATTTTTGGGGGGAGTGTCATCACTGCATTCGTCGTCACCTAAAAAAACAGTTTAGGTTCACACGTATGAAGGCATTATTTAGGTAAAACGGTCCCTTAAGAATAGAATATGACCATATTCCCCATCTATTCGTTTTTGAATTGACAATACTTGAGTTAATAAAATTGTACTACTCAAAGTGCAAAATAACAGTTAATCATGCACACGCACACACTTTAAGTAAAATTCTGCAATTAGGTTTTAACCACTACGGTTAATCATGATATGTGTACTTATGAGAATCGAATGATTAAACTCTAATCTGTCAAGCGATTTTTCAGACAGTTCTGCTAAAGATCAATTTCCCACAAAAATAAGAAAGACGTTCCCGAGACTATTTTCAAAATTTTCAATTACCATCTCCCTCCTCATTAGGAACGTGGTGAAATTGTTCGAAAAATATACTTTGTAAAGAACCCACAATTTTAAGGATCAACTGCCTTAACTATAAGAGTATCATTTCAATCAGAAAAAGAACAAATTTATGATAAATGTTGAAAGAGAGCTTCAAAATGATTTACCGTCTGCATCTTCATCAGAATTGCCATTCAAGGGCTGACTTGATGAAAATTCCTCGAATTGATTGTCATGGGGCATGCCATCACAATGCACAGAGTGGCTAATTAATGGAGTCGATTGTCGAGAATTTAACAAACTCTTACGAAACTTAGTCGGTTTTCGAAGCTTCTTTGATAAAGCTTCACTACCCTCATGTGATTCACCAAAATGACGATGAGATCGTTTGGGGGAGAGGGAAGCTGTTCTCCTAAGTTGATGATTACCGCATTTACAACGACCTTGACTATGAAAAGAGGGTGGAATTTCAAGTACCTTCTCCGTAACTCTTGCCTTCTTTATTGGACCCTCTTCAGAAGAGTCTTCATCATCAATATCCAGTATATCTACCCGTTTGGAAGTTCGATGAACGCGTTCATCATCATCGATTGGAGGATTTGAGATACGCCAATGATTCCATCGGCAATCATCAGCAAGACCTGTGAAGTGTGAATTTTGCCCATCTTTCCTTCTTTTCCGCCGACGTTTTTGTCGATATGAGGAATGCAAAACGGTTGGATGTGACTCATTAGCACAACTTGATAAATCAGCTGAAGAACCGACACTAGGCTCAGATCGTGGAGGAGTAATTGATAACATAGATGTATCAGAAGATGTTGCATCATCGCAGATGATTGGTTGATGCTGATGGAAACGATTTAAATTAGTCATGCGACGAGAAGAGGATGAAAGGGCACTCGGGAAGGGTAAATGCGTATCAAGTGGACGAGAATGACCAACAACATAGCTGTAGCTTCGTTTGCTCCCAGTAGTAAGCAGTGGTAATGGGGATGTGGCACGAGGCAAGTAACTCCTATGAATTGGTACTTAAATCAATGTTAGTACCTTTGAGTAAAGAGTCCAAAGGTCGATGAAGTATCATTGAGACCCACAGTTTGAACTCTAAGTTGTATTAAAGATGTAGATGAAGTAAATTTTTTTCGATGGGTGTCCTAAAAACGCATTTTTAATGTGTGAACGGCCATACCTCGATAGAGTTTGCACTCGTCCCTGCGGTATCATTAGCCGTCATTCGAGCGACGGCTTGACTGAGACGGGAAATAGCCCTTGCAGTGACGGTATCATGATGGAAAATATTGCTACGTCTTTTGAATCCACGGATTGACGACTCAGGTCTTACATGCGAATTCATCAGAGACGAAATTTTGAAGTGGTTTCCTTTAAGCAAAACCACGAAATGGAATTTGAGATTTAATTGTTGTAATGACGAATACAATCGGATAATTGTAATCCGGAAATGGCAACATTAAAATAAGTAGGCGACGTGAAAACAGCTAGGACTCCGACTAATCACACTTTGCGGCGCAAGGGAGGCCAAATATTGGCTCCAATGAATTAAATATACCTGTTTATCAATGGGCTGTAAACCACTTGAGTTCTTTAAAAAGTTCATCTAAATTGTTATTACTTGTAGGAATATGTTTACAAATAATTCTTTTTTCTAAATTTATTATTATTATATTTAATCATCTTGGAACAGCTATAATCTCCTTTGAAAAGATTATGACACAGTAATTTTTATTGGAAAAAAATTTTGTGCTTCTCCCTTATATTGATTTTATTAAATATAAAAGTTTCAAAGCAAATTTTAAATTTCTCTTTAAATTGCTGTTTGGTAAAAAGTAGTGTAAACGATGCTCCAATTTGTAAACACTTTCAAAATTAGTGGTTTCGAAATGTCGTTAGTTCTTAAATTTTCTTGCATTCAAATGAAAAAAATCTTCGTCACCGTAAAACTGCTGATTATGGTTTGTCAGCATGATTAAATTTACCGTTTATCTGTCCGTTAACGGTTGGTGATAGAGTGCTTAGAGTTGTGTAGACCTCGTATTTGTCATAATGTTCGATTCCTTAGTTTGGTTTGCGTTTTAATAAATTATATGCAGCTATGCGAAACTCTTCAGTTTTAATCAGACTCACAGTACTATTTAAAGTGGATGTTAAGGTACGAATTTATTATTATATTCCAGTGAATAATTCGTTAATTTTTGTATAAAAATCTTTACCAAAGATTTTTCGTGGAAATTATTGAGAAATATAATATTATAGATCAATCCACTTGGAAATAGACCATATGCACATAGTTTGTTTATATCCAAATCATTTTTGACATGTTAAGTCAAAGGTGAGATGATTTTGTGAATAAGACGCTTTCCCAAATAACGAAGACGGCGTACAGCTATGTGTATTAAACACTTCACGTGTTCAAGGGGGCTTGATTCTCAGGTTTTACACATATAGGATCTAAGGTTAGTATGGTCTTTTGAAACCAAGATGGTTTGTGTATCACAACGCGATAACTTTAGAAATAACCCACACTTCGCTTTTCATAATTACTAATTTTTCCTACGGTTATAAATTCTAATCATCACTTGTACTCACTGGTTATACTTCAATGCTCTTATCAAATACCCACCTTAATTGCTGTACACGCTTATACTAATTTCTTCCTTTTCTTGCTGCAATATGCGGCTTATCCTTCCACTTCACCTGGTAGTTCACGACTAAATTTTATCGCCCTCGCTGAAGTTGATGAGCTGCCCAAATATGTACATTGAATAGTTATCGCGCTACATAACAAAGCTCCTGAAGTGATGCGGTGCATAGTGCACATGACTGTCAGTGCTAATCAAAGTACTCTCTGGATAGAGTAGAGCTTGCTACTAATCCTACCCAGTCAGCGATTAATATTCATTAACCTTACTGCTTTGACACTTTATTCATCTTTACAATTAAATCCCTCCTCTCTATACCGTTTGTGTTCTCACAATTTTGGGCAGAGGTCTAAACTTATTTGGACAACTAGGATAAGTATTAAGATTTATTAAAATTTTGTTTTTCAATAAAATTCATTCATCGTTCCTAATAACTACTTTGAAATTTTGCATGTTTTTTATTTAAAGATTTTGATACCAACTAACCCAAATGATCACTAATACGGATTAGCCCGCCAATTTTTGCCTCACGTGATGTTCACTCTTGACGATGCTGCTGGAGGGTTTCCACCTGAAGAACTTGCCCAATTGGCAAAAGCACATTTCAGAAACGAGCTCAGTGGCTTCATTGTCACGGTAGCTGCTATATACGCAAGTAAGTTGCATACATTTTTCCTTATCGCTTTTAGTCTCTTATTTCACAAACCCGTAATTCCTACCAAGTTTCAACACATTAGATTTACGACTCTTGTACACTGCTACGAATACAATTTAAATGTGCATATTTCGTTTCGTCTTTATTAATTTTATGTTCTGGGACCATTCAAATGGGAACTTAATGGAATGACTAGAAATAGGACCACCAAACTCATCGTCACTTTCTTGGTCATTTGGAATTAACTTGAACTGAGACACCTCGCTGAGTTCTGATTCGTGCCTCTCCTTGTATAGCGTTTCATTTACTCACGTAGGTCGCTGCATTTTCGTGTAGCCTTTTACCGAACATCGATCCGCTTCCCCCTACCTAGTCTTAGAATGAGTATCTGATAACCTGACTGGAGCCTAAAAGCACCTTCTGATCAACTTCCTAAACATGTTCTTAGACGATTACCCAAACTCCTAATAGTTGCAGTACTCTACGCTTAACCCCCCCCCCTCCCCCCCAAAAAAAACAAAAAGTCTCATGTCGTTAGTTATTGCTAAAATTTATGTAGATTTATATACACAAGTAGTTTATCTATTACATAAAATGCACACAGATAAGGGGTTAAAAAAGATTTTGCATCATACACCAAGTACGCATCTAATTCTGTTCGTTATCGTCGAGATATTTCCTCACTAGTGTGTCCACGTCCTCCAGCGGTTGTGAAGATGCTTGCAAAGTCTAAAAATAATTAATATTGTTAAGGTAATTTCAGTCGCTTGGATAGGCAGCTTGGGTGATACACACATACCGGAGCAATCCTATCAAGTAACCTTCCCACATCCATTCGTAGATTGTCTAGAGCTTCACTAGTAACAGTGGCTTGGGATTTGACGGTGTCTAATAGCTACAACAAAATAAAATAGGATGGTTTGAAAACGAGGAAAATATTGGCGACTGTAAACTGGCAACGCACAGCTCTCAAACCCGTCTCATATTGAGTAAAGAAGGAATCGAGGGGGAATTCCGCTAATTCAGCGTCGGACATTAATTGAATTCGTTCTTTTTCACTCGACCACTTTGGTGGAAGAAAGTATCGCAAGCAATTCCTAATAAAGAAAGCGTATTTAAGGAGAATTGCTTGAATTCCTAGGTAAGCATAAAGACTACTTGTTGGGAAACATACCTCAACTTCTTGGCAATTTTCTTGCTTGCGGAAAGGTTCTGGAAGAACAAGAAATTAAGTTAAATAATCTCACCAAAACGATTGACACTTTGGGGAAGTGTTAGTTTACGAAAGCAAAAGTTCGAACTTGACTCCTCTAGCCTCCCAATAATATGCGCGTGATCCAGACAGCTAAACATTGCTCCACCGAATTCGCATTTTAAATGATTTGTATCAAATGAAAAAAATACCTCATCGCTACCTACCATCGAATGGTGACTCCACAATAAAATGGAAATAAAAAATTGTTGCAAGTCTAACTTAGAAGTGTATTGCGAATTGCTTTCGCCGGAATTTTCATTGGGTGGCAAAAAAAAATTCAGACAGAAAAGAAGGGGCAAATTACTCACGTCGGGATTAGACGATGAAGGCTGGTCCTTTGAAGTAATTTCACCCTGAGTGCTAAAACAAAAAAAATGAGCCATAGGTCAAGAGTCAATCGAATTTCCTTACCTTTCAATAGGAATTCATGAAATGCAAACAAAAAATTTCGTCATTACATAAAAAGGTTGGACTACTCTAAATTAATACCAAACATACGCAAGATCACTATGAAAACTACCGGCTGATCAAAGCAGAACCTTGAAAATGGATTTAGTCAAAAACCAAATTCAGTAATACTTTGGAACCATAATTGAACAGTATTGGAGAAAATAAAAATTACACTATATAACGGAAATTGTAACAAAGCATCGGAACAGAATTGATCGCCAATATAGGTAGCAGCCAGATATGCTGCCGATAGTAGCAATGCGAGCTTCCCATCGGGCTAACTCTTCTCTAATGGTGAAGCTTTTCACTTTGGGAATAGTACAAGAACTCAAATACGGCATGCCCAATGATAAAATGACTAATCGTGGTTAAATTATTGTCATTGCTTTCGCCCAGCTGCTAGGCATGCTTTTCGTGCATCCTTATCCTTCTCTATATAGACTTGCTCATGCCCTTTCAACCTCCCATGAGCATTGAGATATATTGAAGCAAACTGTAAGTTAAATTTGAGAGTATGACTTGAAAATGTAGTCCATTGGGAGTAGTGTGGTCTTTTCAAAAACCACTTAATGTAAAACATATTTATGGAAAAATTTATTTAGTATCTTAACAAAAATTAGGAAAAATAATCATCGTTCAACAATAAACAAATACACAGTCGTCAAGGTAATAAAGCGAGATAGGGGAGATTGTTTCCTGGCGTTTTATTGGTCAATTTATGGAATGGTCTGGGTTTACCATACTACTTGCGGTTTTCCCCAATTTATGAGAATTCAAATGCTCTAAAATCGGATTGTTTAGCCCTCATCGACGTCATCACGGTGTGTACGCAATTAAAGGAATTACTAAGACAAATTTCTTATTTCATCCTACCGACTAAATTTTTTCCTGTGAATCGACTATATAGGCATTTTTAACCAGTAATTAGACTTGCTTCGTCTATTCTAAGGACTGAGGCGAAAGGGAGTAGATCTCCTCCCCAAGTATGTGTGTTATGCAGACCATTGTGCAATCAGGCTTCTGCTAAGGAATCTGGTCGCCTACTGAAAATAACCAGACCATCGTAGGAAATGAGTAATAGAAAGGCCTATAAATATATATAGTATTCTATTATAACCACAGCAAAACAAGAAATCTGTAAAGAAGAGATAAATCATAGGAGATCTAGTAGAAGTATAGAACTTCTCACTCCATTTCGGATAGGTAAAACACATCCGGTTAGGAACTATTCCGGATAGGTCTAGGTAATTATGTCATGGTCCAATTTTCTAAAGTTACAGTTATATGAAGGGTTGCGATAGACTTACCTCCACACGGTGCACTCTGGGAAACGTATACTCATACGGCAGTCGACTTCTGACTTCAAACTACCATGAACCCATTGTATGTCATATTCGACCACTTCCACAGTACTTATCTTACCTTTTCTCTGCATTTGTGTCCATCTGTCTCTTTACATCGGTGAATCACTCTTCTATTTCCCCCTCTCAACCTTTTTTCACTATGATGTTCCTCCTCCCTTCTGTGAAGTCCGAAATCAGCTAAAGGGCTAATGATAATTGCCAAAACGCCTGCCATTTGTAATAAATAAATAAATAGATAAACAATTTCATGAATAGAACCATCGCCCCCCTCCGACTCCATTTTGGTACCTGAATGGCAGTTCCGGTTTGTCAAGTTCAGTCGTAATTAATTAATTAAACTGGATAAATAACTGCTAATACAGACAAGATATTAAAAAAACAATTTACATTATACAAACAGTACTGAGAAAAAGCAGGCATTATAACTAAAAGTGAAGTAGCAAATGGGGCGTGAAACCCACCTTGTTTGAGCATCCAAAACTCCATCCGGTTTTGAGCCATTGTGGAGGGAAGATGCTGACGTCTTTACAACTGTTTGGACAGGCTCTATCTACAAGAAAGAAGTCTTCCGATTTAAAACTCGACCGCGTGAAGCGACAAAGCACAAATTTGACTTCCGAGCGAAGCTGCATTATGATACACAAAAAGTGACGTTTCCCTAAACAGCAATCAATATTGTCAATAAAGCCGATTTTTATCTGACCATCTTTAACATTTTTTCTATCCTTCAGGTGATCTTAACTACCCAAACGAAGTCTTGTATGTGATAAAAAAACTCCACAAAATGCGGGCACAAATTCGGGACGTTGAAATTTTAAAAATTATTATTTCAAATGGGGGGTGTGCGAGAGACTTACCTCCACGTGGTGCACCCTGGGCAACGTATACTCATACGGCAAAAGTCTATTAACTGGCAGTTGACTTCTGACTTCAAACTACCATCACCCCACTGTATGTCATTTTCGACCACTTTCACAGTACTCATTTTACCTTTTTCTCTACCTTTGTGTCTGTCTCTTTTACATCTTTAAACCACTTTTCCGTTCCTCCCTATCGACTTTTTTCACTTTGATGTTCCTCCTCCCCTTTATGAAGCCCGTAGTCAACTAAAGGACTAATGATACCTATCAAAACGCCTGCCATTTGATATAAATAAATGTTCCCTCCCCTCTGTGAAGCCTGAAGTCAACTAAAGGGCTAATGATAACCCTCATAACGCCTGCCATTTGATATAAATAAATTATTTCAAATGGCAGGCTCTGTGATATTTATCATTAGCCCTGTTAAAAATTAAATGCAACTGCCGGGTGGGTTTAGGCAAATGTAAGTTGGGGG